TCATTATTTAAAATAGTGGTAGACACACAATAAACACTAGGAATAGAAATAAGCTTGTTACGCCTAGATTTCGACTCAAAAAGGTGAATAAATCCTTAATGGGCCTGAATATACGGATATACATTAAGATTCCACAAACTGTCCCAGTTCTACCTTTTCCAAAATTTTGAGATAAAATATATTAAAATTAGTATATATTGACTCGTATGCGGATATGTTTATCAATGTAACTTCGATATTTAAAAGAGCTACTGTCGAGTTCCTCGCCAGCTCGTCTCAGCAGACCTGTTTTCCAAGCCGGTGGTAGCTTCCTTACTGACTAAACTGACGCTCTAAATTGACTATTCAAAAGTACTTGTAATAAGTCTATTTGATAAAGTTTCATTTCATTTCAACTACTCGACAATATGAACTCAAAAGCGAATTGCTTTACATTTTTTATACTTGGGTCACCTCAAAATGACCGTTTTTACAAATTAATAAGAGATATCATAAAAGAATGTGTTCCTTTGAAGAAGAATAACGGCAATAATAAATACCCTCCCTGGTACTCTCATTGTCTTATTCGACTCCTAAAAGACAAATTTAAACTTCATAAAAAAATTAAAAAGTTTAACAATCCCTTAGATATAGTTCTATTCGAAAAACTTCGATACGATTGTCGTAAGATATCTACTGTATGTTATAATACATATATTAAAATGCTTGAATACTCGATCTTTAAAAACCCTTAACTGTTCTGGTCCTTAATGAAAATGAAAAGAAAGGGTAATTGCGCATATCCTTCCCAAGTGCAACTCGACGATACAGTAGCATCAACTGGTACCGATATTTGTAATTTGTTTGCAAAAAACTTTGCGCAGGTCTATCATGACGCTAATCAGGTTACAAAATACTCGTCTAAAATCAAAGTCGTTACACCTAATGTTGGTTCCATTTGCAACTTATCTCTTAATACTGCAGAAGTATACAATGCATTAAAATCTCTAGATGAAAGAAAGGGCGCTGGTAGTGATGGAATTCCTCCGATTTTTATAAAAAGATGTGCAAAAGCCCTAGCTTCACCCGTAAATGCGATTTTCAATCGCTCTCTAAGGGACGGGATCCTTCCGGACTTGTGGAAAGAAGCTTTGATAGTTCCGATTTATAAAAACGGCAGTAAAAACCTTGTCTCTAATTACAGACCAATTTCTCTACTTCCAACACTGGGTAAAGTTCTCGAAAAAATGATAAACGAGCGATTATCTCGGGATCTAAAGCAACAAATTTCTTGTCATCAGCACGGCTTCCTACAATCAAGATCAACAACTAATAATCTGTTAAGCTTTACTTCGACGCTGTCTGAACACATTGACAATAGAGTTCCAGTCGACGCAATCTATACAGACTTTAGTAAAGCATTTGACAAAGTAGATCACATAATTTTATTGGAAAAACTCTCACAATTCGGTATTAGTGGTACTCTGTTGTCTTGGTTTCAATCATACCTACAAAGTAGGTCCTTCAAAGTAGTTATTAGTGGTCACAGCTCGTATACCTGCTCGGCGCCATCCGGCGTACCGCAAGGTTCTCACCTTGGTCCATTACTCTTCAATGTTTTTATTAATGACATAACAAAGTGCTTTCATCACTCAAAATTCTACTTATTCGCAGACGACCTAAAAATAATAAAACCTATTAAAAATAACGATGATGTGACTAAACTACAAGATGATGTTAACAGACTGACAAGCTGGTGCGTCGAAAATAAGATGTCACTCAACACGTCTAAATGCCATTACATTCAATTCACTCGCAATAAAATCACTAACCCAAACAAATACTATATCAACTCACATCAGATTTCCCAGGTAGATACTGTTAAGGACCTTGGAATTACATTAGATGCTAGTTTGCGATACAATACCCATATCTTAAATATTGTATCCAAGGGTTTTAAGATGTTGGGATTCGTACTAAGAAATAGTAAAGAGTTTAAGATGGCGTCCACTAAAATCAAATTATTTAATACACTCGTCCGTCCTACCTTGGAATACAATAGCATCATCTGGAACCCACATTATGACTTTTACACCAAAAGGTTAGAAAGTGTACAAAAACGTTTCCTCTATCATCTTTCTTACAGTGATACTACGGCTTAAAATCTCCCTAACTATCACAATAGACTTAAATATTACAAGATGACTTTGCTCGTTTGTCGTAGAAAAATAACAGATATTATAACACTCTATAAAATAACCCATTCGAAAATTGATTGTAGTGAATTACTACAGCTTCTAAAATTTAACGTACCCTCTCGTTTGCCTCGGAAAAATACATATAGTTTGTTTTATACTCCACTGTGCAAAACAAATTTGAGATATCACGCCGCTATTCCAAGGATCTGTCGACAGTACAATACGATTTCTAAACAACATGTTGAATTAGATATCTTTTCCACTAATATGTTTCAATTCAAAAGTAGTATTACTAAATTCTTATCGTAACTTTAGTAGAAATGTTTAAATATGTTGTAATATGATTTGTTTCTTTTTTTTTGTGTCTCTATATATAGTTTCAGATTTGTTTCTAGACGTTAATTTTTTCTTAGTTTAAACTTAGTTATAACGTAAAATAAATTAATGAGCAAGCTGTGGTCTCCTATAAGTGAAGGAGCACACGTATTGTGAGTCTTATTTGCTTTTTGTTTTTATATAATGTTGTATATTGTGTGTATCTTTTGTTGGAGATCCTAATTAAAATAAAATAAAATAAGTAACGGTAATAAAAACTTCAATAAAGAATTAAATAATCTCCATTGAATTAAAGTATCATAGACCATATATAACATGATTATTAACATAAGTTCCAAAGTATTATTAAAACGGTATTCGCCAGGTGTATTATGAAGGACAGTGTGTAGAGCATACAATGTATGCACATTTGTTTTCGTGTAAGGATGTAAAAGAAACAATAAGAAAACAATTGTATGTTCCTGGAAATTTAATGACTTTAATAGAAGAATAACTAAATTAAAACAGCAAGATAGAAAGAAAAATCATTCATTATTAACATCTTTATCTGATTATGTTTAAGCAAAGACCAAAATTAATCAATGACCTAACAAAATATACAACAAAAGTCATCAAATTAATTAAGTCCGACCAATCAGTTAGTCTAGCGTGGACCGCGGCTCGACTTCAGCACTAAATCGGTTATATAGTACAACTTACAATTTTGAATAATATTGTGATTAAAAGAAAAAAAGCTAAATAATTCTTTCCTACTTATATAATGTGTAATAATATAAAGTGTCCACTACTTATAAATGTATAACTATCGCTTACTTTAAATTTTCACACGAGAGCGGGTTGCGACTGTCGCGACGCGACGCGACTGTCGCAGCCGCCGCCTTATGCCGATACACACATTCTCGCTAACTCTAGGTCACTTACGCCGAATGTTAGACAGAAAAGCGATATCCCAAACCGAAATTAAAGTACTAACAATTTGAATAATTGAAGAAACGTTCAGCCGACGCCGGCGGGACGAGTCAAGTGAGAAACATCTGTACAATTTACAACTAGGCAAAAACCTCGAGCCTCTCGCGCTCGTTGAGCTCAGCTTACGATTGTTAACTCGACATTGTGAAGCTATGCTATGCTCCTGGAATCGTAACAATGTAGCTTTTTTTGGAGTTTTACTTTTTTACAATATATAGGATTTGTTTTCTATAATTAATTATATCTAATATTTACAATGGAGTGAGAGAATGGACATATTCAGAACTCTACTTATTATATCGAAAATTAATATGAAATTCCTACCCAAAACGAACATTATCTACAAATTTAATAAAATCGAGATTGGGCAAGTTGTTCCGAGTTCTGTTCAGTCGGATCATTAAAGACTCGTAATAGGCTAAATTTCAGTTTAATAATAAAAATCGTGAATAATTTTTAAACAGTAATAGCATTAGATTTGTTAGGATCCAGCCGATTAGTATGAATATTACGAAATAAAAATTTAGTTCAAAGTGCATAGAAGAAGCTCTATTATATTAACTGTAAAAAACATCAAAAAAAGTGAATCAAGTCTGCGGTCTAACAAAACTAGCTTTTACTCCCCGCCAGTTCCCTCTCAACAAAGAACATAACCAGACCCGGAGACACAATTGCCCAATCTTCTTTAAAAGCAAAATTCTCACCACAAATTAATCTAACATAAAATAGATCGAGTCTCTGCCTCCAAGAAAAATGTAAAATATACGTGACTCAAAGAGAAACTCGATAGATAAAACGACGGCATATACCGATATTATTAAAAGTGTACGAAACCAAATAGGAGACATAGACTCGATCTAATGTTTATAAATGTATAATGCAAGAGGCCGTCAGCGTCCAACTGTCAAAAAAAAACTTAAAAACAAATCAAATGATTCACAAACTAAGCATGCAGTAGCTTAAACAAAACTGCAGTCAATTAATTTAACATTTTCGATTGTATTTTGGCAGTCGTCGTCGTCGTAGAGTACAAAGTGAACGTGTTAGTTACACGCAAATCGGACACAGAAGAATATAATTAACTGAAACCCGACAGTTTTGTTACTGCATTGTCTAATCTGTGAATCATCCAGTGTTCAGTACAAATAATAATAAGCTGTTCTGTTCAAAGTATCATGTTCAATATACATTTGTGTTAAAACAAGCGATGTCACAATCGACTGACAATGAGTTCACATTCTATATAACATTTGTGGAAGGTCTTCGTAACGGCGATGTACATTCAAAATACAATTTCTTAACCATCACTAGTTTAATTACACTCGGGACAACGTTCCATATAAGCATGTATCGCGATGCGAATAAACCGTGCTATATTTACCGGACATTCAACGAGGGGGTCTATTTACAATGGAGGCCTCATATAGTATATATAGTATACTATATGAGTATGTAGGCCTGTTACGCTGACGGGCTTTTGCCGGGAGGGATGGGGGGTGGTGGGGGGGTTTGGGCTCATATCTTGTGTATCTTCTGCGACACGACCACGGGATTGTTGCGGCGGATCTCCTGCGCTCCCAGCTCCCGGTAGTCGAACGAGCACTCGTGCTTGTCGCTGTATCGATGCACCGCACAGAATAGACCCCCGCAACGGCACTCGAACCCTGGAAATAATTAAGTCGCCATTATTATTTTATACACTACTAGCAAAACCCGCGGCTTCGCTCGCGCTAATATTTGCAAAACGTCTCTAAAAAGGTATATAGATACCTAGGTTTCATACATACTTTCATCCCCCATTTTACCCCCTTATAGGATGAATTTCGAAAAATGCTAAAACACGAATGTATTCAATTGTATTGAAGAGCATAATTACCAAGTTTCAAGTAATTCTGATCAGAAATAAATTTTTGGATTGTATTATAACGTTTTTTTCCGTGGGAATGAGAAGATCCCCGCGTTAAAAAGTATGTCATTCTGCACCTCTCCAACTATCTTCACACAAAAAAATCAAGCCAACTCTGTTCCGACGTGAAAGAAGGACAAACAAACAAACACACTTTCACATTTATAATATTAGTATGGATTTGGATTTTACACATTTTTAAATGGGATGTCTTCATTGACTTATGGTTTTTAACGTATTAAATAATTTTCCAATTTCAATCATAGTCACTATATGTTTTTGTTAGATAGACTCCTTAAATTACCCGAATTGTATAAATAAACTCCTAAAATTACCAGAATTCAAATTCAAGAACAATGTAACCCAAAAAGAGTGCAATTTGATTATATAAGGTGCCCAATTAAATAAATAAAACATAACATTTGGTATATTAAAAATAGAAGATATTAAAGCATGCCCTTCAAAGGTATTGTGTGCATGATATATTAAAAACATGCATCGTTCATGCCACACGCGAATATTAATTATTTATAGCTTTATAAAGGATTGATAAGATTAAACTTAATCAGAGTGGTATGACACAGTGGCATCACATTTACCTATCAATATTGCAATATATATATATATATATATATATATATATATATATATATATATATATATATATATATATTATATATATATATATATATATATATATATATATATATATATAATTATAAAATGATAATAATAGTAATAAACCCTTTATTGAACGTCCAAAAAAAAGAAAACAAGATATACAAAACATGGGAAAATGTTCAAGACGCGGACTTATAGCTAAAAGAGCGATTTCTTCTAAACAACCTTTAGGTGTAGAAATTGTATTACGATTTTATTTTAGGTGCGAATATTAAATTATTAATTTATGGTCATACGTATCATACAAATACACTGGCGTGCAAAAAAATCGGGCCACCCTTAATATTAAGCATAATTTTTGTTGACAATTGTTTGGTGAAAAAAAATACCGCATAGGTAATTAAGGAGATTAGACGCCTTTGTTTCCTTCAAAAAAGTCATAAAATTCCTGGAAATGAACGTGTGCGCTTAATTATAGTCAATTAGCAGTAAAGTACTTTGATCTGCGATTATTAGAAATACTGCAAGATGGATCTGACCGAGGCTGAATCATCTCGAATTGTGACTTTGCTTGAAACTGGACAAAGTCAACGTCAAGTGGCTCAAGCTTTTTCTGTGAGCCGTTCTACGGTCCAGAGAGTGTACAAACGTTACATAGAGACTGGTGGCTTTGTACTACGACATGGTTCCGGCCGACGGAGAGCCACATCAGAGCGTGATGATCGATTTATTGTGTCATCAGCTCTAAGAAATCGTCATCGCACAGGGGTTAACGTTCGAAATCTCCTGAGAGAAGTGAGAGGTGTTAATGTTAGCGAGTGGACAGTAAGGCGCCGACTTAGAGCCGCTTCCCTGACGCCACGCAAGTCCGAAACTGGCCCCAAACTCACCCCCTGCACATCGAATTGCAAGATTACTTTTTGCCCGAGATCACGTGAATTGGAATTTGGAGCAGTGGAAGAAGGTTCTTATTACTGACGAAAGCAGAATATGTTTGCATGGTGCCGACGGCCGTAATTTTGTTTACCGGCAACCAGATGAAAGATATACACCATGCACTATGCGGGAAACAGTGTCATATGGAGGGGGCTCAGTTATGTTTTGGGCAGGATTCTGTTACGAAGCGAAAACCGAGCTTATATTCATAGAAAATTGATCCCTTACAGCCGCTAGGTATATAACGGAGGTTTTAGAAGATCATGTGATACCTTTTACTGGGTTCATTGGAGAAGATTTTCTGCTTCTACAAGATAATGCTCGCCCACACACTGCTACATCAGTAAGGCAGTATCTTCAAGAGGTCGGAGTGTCTACTATTGGCCAGCGCGAAGCCCTGACCTCAATCCAATAAAGCATGTACGGGACCATCTCAAAAGAAAAGTTAGAAGTCGCGTAGTAGTCCCGAGCAACATTCAAGAATTAAAAAGCGCCTTATTGGAAGAATGGGAGTATATTACACAAGATTATCTAAAAAAGTGTGTCAAATCTCTGAAAAACCGATTAAAGCTGTAAATAAAAATAGAGCCGGTAAAACGCATTATTAAAAATCATAAAACCAATCGAAATCTTTTAATTTTCCCATTAATTTGCGGCTTACATTACCAAACTCGCGAAAAATCATTAAATTTGATTTTCCTATATTTTCGAGCAATAATTTTTATTTAAATTATTCAACGATTATTGATTTAGGTACCTAGGGTATACAGCTACCCATATATAATAACAAAATTAATAAAAAATATCATATCTTAAGTTTGTCCATTTTCTCTAGGTGGCCAATTTTTTTTGCACGCCAGTGTATATATAATAAAAAAATAATACGCTGAATCACGTTTGTTAGTGTCGAGATCAAAGGATAAAATTACCAAGCGGGCAACAGTATAAGTATAATTTAGATTATTATACCATCTCAAACAACATATAATATTATTTGATTATTCATATAAGTATAAAGTTATAAAAAATGAACCAAACGGAATATAACATATTTTCCTTATCTTTTATAATTCGCTATACATAGTCAAACTAATTTGTATAGTAATTGAGTTATCATAAAAACACATCAAATGTTTAGCAGACGTAATTCAATCTATTATTATAATATAATTGCGTCACATGTTTTTAAGCAAATTTTTCATTATATTTTGTTGCGTAGTAAAAAAGGAAGCTATACTTTTTCTATGTTTAAATGTATCCAGCAAGAAACTATTCAATTACTTAGTTTTGCGGACTTATTACAATAATATTCAGTATGTACATCTGTCATCTGTGTAAATAAATATGAATGTTGCCAAGTGTAAATAAAACTCGAGAACGGCTCGACCAATTCAGCAAATTTTTTTTCGTATGTTCCTTAAGGTACACCGAAAATTTTAATAAAGGAAAAAATATAAAATAAGATATATGTATATAAAACAAAGTCGTGTTAGTCACATATGTATAACTCAAAAACGTCTGGTCCAATTTTTATGATATTTGATTTTTAGGATTTCTTTTAATCCGGAATAGGATAGATAATAACTAATAAGTATTAAAACATCAGAAAAATTAACAAAAAAAAACAAATTTATATGGCTAACTCTGGCTAATAACTATTTATATCTATTTAAAACGTACCTAGCGACGAACCCGAGCGAAGCGAGGTTAATAAAACTATTATTTTCACAAACGATTGTCGATTGTTGAAATTGTTGATTGACAACGCATCATTCTATCGACGTGCAGTATGGAAGTAAAATATTTTGGATATACTAAATCAAAAAACCTAAATTTGGCTACTTACGTGAGACTAAATTAACTTACCGACAAAATTAAAATCGCTTCGTGTATGAATAAAAAAACAACTAGTCAAATCCTATCTTTTTACAAATCTATAAATAAAAATGAATCACCGAAATGTATGTACGCGCATAACTTCCGATCGACTGCACCAAATTGGATAATTCTTTTTTTTGTTTGTTATTGTCAGGACATGTTTTGTATAGAATAAAATTAAAAGAAAAAAATACTAAAACAAGATTTTCTTTAACTCTCATGATATGAAAAGAGAGTAAGTGAAATAATTTTTATCCCGGAAATCATCCCTTAAGGGGGTGAGAATGGGGATGTAAGTTTGTATGGGAAAGCAAGCTAGACACGAACCCGAGCGAAGCGAGCTTGAGTCGCTAGTAAAAGATAACTTTTTCGATTCTTATATTATTCCTTTACGTGTCACATTTGTCTAAAATATATTAGGTAACAATATATACTTACGAATTGCGAAAAATAATAAGTTTTATTTCCACTTAAATATCAACATAATTCATCTCCAAAAGTCCGAATAAGATAAGCATGCAGTGTTTACCTGTGAGTCCAACCTTCTTGCGGCAAACAGCGCATCTGTTCTTTTTCTTTTTGTCTTTGCTGTCCTTATCGTCGGCGTCAGTGTCGGATGCGCCTGCGCTGGCCCCACTCGTGCCGGCCCCACTCTCCTCTTCCAATTTCTGAAAATAATATATTTCTAGGGTTAAACAAACTCAACAACTTGTATGGTGATGAAGTATGACGTTTAGTATTTATCTATAATAATCCTAAACTTCGAAACCTGCTAACAATAACATTGCAACTTAGTTGTACTTGTATTGAACCAATTTAGAATTTAAATTTAAAATATATGTATGAGGAATTGAATTTCCATTTTTAAATTATCTCAATACTGAGTTGCAGTGTTCTCCATTGCTGATAAAACGGTAATTTCTTTGTAAAATAAGCCACGTGGTTTTTGGTGTAAGCATAAAATTATTAGGTATTGTTGAGACGCCCTCAGAGAAAAAAGATAAGAACATATCGACTTTGTTAACCGACCCGTTTGAGATTCTTTTTACTAGTGCCTATTTCAGCAGACGCTTCAAGTTTGGGCAAATCTTTCGGATCTTTCGAGCTTATAGTGGCTGCCTCCTCGTGGATTGTATTAAACTCCTCATTAATGCCAACGGTATGTTTTAATTTTAATTTATCTTTGGAGTTATCTTGAACTCGCTGCATCTTATCTTCTATTTTAAGCCCAGCATTTTGAGTGTGCTCTGCTCTGTCGGTAGTTCCGTCCGGTGTTGGAAACGGAGTACTGTCATTTGTTTCGACAGACAAGCGTTTATTTTCGAAACTTTTCGCTCCGGACACTGTTATGCTTTGATTAAGAACAGAATTTTGGCTATTGTTACTAGATTTACTATTGCGTCGTATGGCTTTCTTCAGTATTCTCTTCCCCTTCGATTCTTTTTTGTTAGGGTCATTTTCCATTATTGTTATTTTGTATTGTTAGGTTTAAACATTTTGACTGCAATAAACGAATATTATAAAGAATAATTTGATTTAAAATCCAAAATAATACAGAAGCAATGTTAATACACTGTACCACATGATTATCAAAATATAGTCCGGCATTTTTAAATATATTAAATGGATAAAAATAAAAAATTACGTATTTGTTTAATATGCATATTTTAAAACAATAAACACTGTAAAAATGGTTATTTTTTATTTTCTTGACAAATATGTCTGTTTGCATATACTTCTTATTTTAATTTAAAAGCGCCGTGTGCCAGTTCTGTTCGACGTCAAAACCAAACAAATCTATTTGGTCCTTGAAAATAATTATATTCTACGGTATGTACAACTAAAACATTATTTGCAACATTTGCCTAGTTTTCATATACACAACAATCTCGTTTTGAATCCGTGCCCTTGTATATCATATCCGCATTTAAACTTCCACTTTAAAGGCGTGATATGTTGAGGGAATTCAGTTTGTTACCGGAAAAGGATTTAGTTTACATGTTTGTATTTATATAAAAGGACAGTTAATTGTGATACTCGACTGGACAGACAGGCCTCATGATCGTTGCTACGCGTAATATATTATACAGGAGTGGCCCACCGTCGACTAATTGATGGACGTATAATAGCTGCATTGAATATTCAGCTAGTGTCGGTTAACAAGGCCTTTTGCTATGTAATTCGTTGCATTTGACTAGATTAATAAGCTAGGCTATATATTTTATATATTTTCAATTAATAATTTTGTTTCATGGGAAGAAAGAGCCTTATGATATTTTTAATTATCCTTCTCAAAAAACTGAGATAAAAAATCCATTAACAATTATTATGCCAAGTTATCGAAGAACCGAAGACAAAATTAAAAACTTAATGCTTTCCAATTTCATAGGACATGATTTACATTTTCTAATATGCAATCAAAGGCATTTGAAGAAGACAAATAGATAAACATTAGCATTCAATTCCCCGTGTAGCGGTAACATGTAATTATTATGTGCGAGGCGTTTTTATCACGCCTTTGTAAGCGACCACAATAAGTAATTGTGTGTTTAAAAAGTAAAAACTTGCAATTTTTGCTCGGAAGGATATGAATATATAAGCACTTATTCTCTTATAACTACAATGTTATTGCTAAATTAATGCTATTTTCTCCAAAGCAGAATCTTGCAAAATCTTACCTGAAGTCCAATTTCAAGAACCTCATATATATCGCCACCATACATAAAATATATATGTGAGTATGTGTAATGAAAAATAAAATATATTACAGCTTTATCGCGGTTCTTTATTTGTTGTTGATAAATAAAAAACCGCGATAACACTAACGATTGTCAAGCTGATTGGACTGACAGACCTAAATTAATATTTTATATGTAAAAATATACAAATTATTCATTATTATAATGACAAAGAGTTTAAATATAAACTTGTAGTGTCAATATTTCTTTCTACCCATAGACACAGAGATTCGACTGTTTCTTTGCCAGCCGTCAGCTATAAATGGCGAAAAGGCGCGAGAGATAAAACGAATGTGCGGCAAGAAGCTTGTGTAATACGATTAAAGACATTTATAACCATTTTACATTCCATTATAATATAATAATAATTAATTATAATTAAGTAATGGAATGTAAAAAAATATTATATTTTTTTACATTCCATTTATAAATTCAAATTGGAATAGAAGACAGGTAATGGCCGCACTTTCGCTTTCTCTCTTTCTAAAGAGTGATCAATTTCAGAGCAGTATTGCTGAGTCCATTCTCTCTCTACGTCTATTTTTCCACCCAAGATCTATTGAATTACTTTAACTAAAATTCTAATCTTATCTTAATCGTTAATAATACAAAAGGAAAGCCGGCACTTTATTTTAAATGTAACTTATTTGATAAGTGATGTGATTAATATTATTGATTAATTTTATATCTCGGCCAAGAATAAAGGGATTCAATGATCGCGCGGCTCACGCATGAGGGCATCTTTGTTTTTGGCGTGAATCACCTTTAGCCAACATTTAAAACCAGGTCAATGTGATTTGCACTTTTGCACTGATGTGGGCTCTTTATTTACTAGCCTTTTGCTATATTTACTTTTTTACGTATTATTTGCATATGTATGTTGTCTTAACGATTCAGCATTACTGACCCATTTGTGCATATTACAAGATATCATAAATATTAAAAGAATATCTTTTCTGTATCAAAACTTTAATACCATAGGTTTTACAAGACAATTTCATTAATTTGTTCTTGTTCTAGTAATATAAGATAAAAGTCAAAGGCGAGTCTAAAAATAAACAGTTAATATGAAAATTGATGATGAAGGATGAAATTGTTATTAATTTATGAGCACAATCATCGTATATGAAGCACCCGTATTGTTATTACCAGCATACTTTACTATTCCCCTGTATTTGACTATAAATCACGTTCAATATATTTGAAAAAGTGCGAGCGAGACAGCAGTTTTTTAATTTTTCTTATTTACATGTTTTGCAACAACAAAGTCCGTACAAATTACAATATGTAGATAGTTGTAAGTAAAAATGCTACAAGCGCACCAGCTACTGTTATATTTATGGTATCGATGGCGTGAACTAGAACGGTTAATGGAGCGTAACCCTAATGTAATGTAGATCGATTTGTAGAAGTGCACCTAATGTATACACAGGAGCAATAAATATGAAAGGTCCATCCATTTACTGTTTCGAAAGAGTTCTCAGTCTTCGTGCGATAGAACCGTTACTTTATAAGCATTAAGACTAGATGGTATTCCATATTATCATACAATACGTAGAAAATATTATAATATGGTGAGTTTGACTGTATGTATGAGTGTTTGGTTTTTACGAATTGAGTGAAACAATAGAATATTATATATACATTATTCCGAAACAATGTAATTGATAATACTACTTAGACAATTGTACTTTGAGTAAAATATAATCATATGTATTTCTATCGTGTTTATATCCACACATTTGTCACAATGAAAGAAAATAGAAATCAGGTTATCGCAGAAACTGTGTGAAAGATATATGTATATTAAAAAAATATATAAAAAATTATACATGTTACGTATCAGGGAACCTAACACTGACCATTCTGGTTAGCATCTGATGTGGTATGCGATACGCTCGAGTAAGTTGTGTGGTGAATAAGTAGTGTGGTTTCTGTTATGTATTATCTGTATAAAACAAATGCATCCCCGTGCATGTGTTGCCGCAACGGAGGCAAGTTACGAGGCACAAGTGGTGGAAGAAACACAATATTGTTCAAGTTTATATTTATTGTTTTTAGTTCGGTCAGTTTATAGAAGCATTGCAAATGCTAAATTGAAAATATATAGAGTAGAATATACGAATAACTTAATTATATATGTAAAGTTTAATACGCAATAGGTAGACAGGTTGCCAGCGGATTCTCTTTTGTCATTAAGAATGGTATCACGATTTACGTGTGACTGATACAAATTACACATTTTTAATGGATTCTTAGAATACAAATTAAATGTTTAGTGTATTAATATGTTTTTAGGGATCTCTTATCAAATTTTAAGCTTTATTATTTACTGATGCATCAAATTATTACAATGGATAGCATTTTAAACTTTGTAATCTAAGAAATCTATTGAGATGTTTAATCTATACTAACATTATAAAAGAGGCAGAGTTTGTTTGTTTATTTGTTTAAACGCGCTAATCTCAGGAACTACTAATCTGATTAGAAAAAATCTTTTTGCATTAGATAGCCCGTTTATTGAAGAAGGATAGGCTATATATCATATAATATATAGTCTATCTATTCCATACTAACCGTTAAAACGTACTGTAAAGATGAGACATGAAATGCGGCACAATAGATATTATTATTGATTAAAAAGTACTAGCTAATAAATTAACGCTGTGTCCAACAAATAACTCAATGTATTCCTCATTAAAACAACACATCGAGAAGAAAAACAAAACAAAAATCAGACAGCAACTTGGCGACGGAGTGCTAAGCTGTGAAAATTAGTTTTCACCAGTTTTTCGTCTCCGATTATCTATTATATTATATATAACTTCTTATTAGCTCTACTAGGATCAGTAGTTTCAGAGATTACGTCTACATACAAATTTACAAACTTTACCTCTTTTAATATTAGTGCAAATGAGTATAGTGATATAACCGATAACGTATTATATGTTAAGAGTAGTATTATAAATGCGGCCTCACGTCTGTGTGTAGCTGCGGCTGCACCGGCAGCGTGGGCACTGTGGGCGCGGCGGCGGACAGCGGCGTGGGCGCGGCCACGAACGATGTGGACACTGCCGACGGCGTACTCGCTGGTGGCTGCTGTTTCTTTTTTAAGGCTTCCTGGAATTAAATAAACATAATTTATATTTTATTAATTACTAGCGGCTTAGCCTCACTTCGCTTGGAGGCTTCCTTAGAAAATAGAGATGAATGTTTTAGGAACGCATAGAGGACAAACATACAAAGAAACAAACATTTTTATTTATATGGATAGGTCCGTGCATTTATGTTGACTAACTTTTATATTTCTAGCTAACCGTTATTGCGTATACAATTATTTTATATTTATAATCGTTATTGGTGACTTTCATTATCAACTAGAACTACGTGACAAAATACAATGTAGGTAATTTAGATATCGTTAGAAATGAATTAAAATCTCAATCTACACGTACTAATAAATGGAGAGCCGATTTTTTTTGTTCGGTTATATTGCGATAACTACTGAACCAATCGGAACAATACTCAAACTATAAGATGCAGCGTGTTTCGGAGAAGGTTTTAGTATACGATATGGTGATTAATGCACTATGTGGGCGGAGCCGTAGGAAAACGCTAGTGTTATTATATTTAAAGAAAATACAGATGATAATATCCTCTATCCCGATATATCGTAACATGAACAACACGCCTGATGTTTATCTTTACTAAAATGTTGGAACGTCAAGTACGATCAAGTACAATAATTACAATGCTATTCAATAGTAATTATTATTTTAATATTGTAATAAATTCTTAGAATTAAGATGAAATCATTATTTAAACGAAAGTTGGATGATACAATAAATTACAATTATGTACAATAATTTTCATTGTTGAAACCACGTCGAGCACGAAACATATTACAGGAAATGATAACTGACACATTAGTTACTCAAGAATTATCTTAATTGGATACATTTCATGATTATATTTTTCATATTATTATTATATACATAATATTTTTATAAGATTTACAATATATTTTAAGTTTTGAAAATTTTTAAGGAACGAATATTATACAAGTTTGTACATCGCAAATATATTTCATCATAACAAAATGTTTTTAAATAATGAAAGCAAAAAACATATTTTTTTCTATAAATTATGACTGTGTTGTAGTGATGAGCGTATCGATCTTATAAAATGCCATAGCCATTATTTATCTAATATAGAGAATTAAATCTATTTTTGTTTAGTTTTATAAAACATACTGACGATTCTACGAATGTCAGATATTTAATATATTGCATATATTATAGGGATTGGGGATGGAATTTTAATATATTATAGGTAATATTACATGTGATTGAAATAAAGGTGATTTTTTTTAATCTTTATTGTTTTTGAATTAAGCATATATCAATATTTTTTAATGTAATTTCTTTTTTATTAAGAAAATAATTATTAAAAAGTGCAATTATAAATAGAAAATTCAAAGTATTTGAAACACACGGCATTGGTCAAAGTATTATCATAACAGAGCGATTAGCGTTTTCGTCGCTACAAATTGAGTCGTCATTTTTCTGTGTATAACATACTGTGACGTCACGCTAAGCGCGCGAAATGGCGCGCGTAAAGTATCTGTGTCGCTATATTTAAAAAAAATATATGTATACTAAATTTTAGATTATTGGAGCTGGATATTTTTTAATATAATTTTATATAACGATGTTAGTTATTGTATAAACAATTAAATAAAATCACGCATATTCCCTATTGGACAAAATAGAGTTAAAGTTCCTACTAAACTTCTTATTTGGCTATTCCTTGGCACAAAGAAATCATTTTAGGAGTAGAAGGCAAAACTATCATCTTATAAATATACCTTCACACAAGTTCAGTTCAGTAAGTTTACTAAACAGAAATACATATCTAAGACTAGCGACTCACCCTCGCTTCACTCGGGTTCGTCCCTAGCTTGCTTCCCCATACAAACTTTCATCCCCATTTTCACCCCCTTAAGGGATAATTTCCGGGATAAAAAGTATCCTATGTCTTTCCCAGGGTCTCAAACTATATTCTTACCAAATGTCATCTAAATTGGTTTAGTAGATTTAGAGATTACCCCCTACAACGTCACAAACTCATAATTCACAAACTCATAAACTTTACCTGTTTATAATATTAGTATAGATAGATTGACGTATTATATATGAAAAAAACCATCTTATAGAAATATCACTCAATAGGTTACGACGCGCCCGCGGTTCCATACCTACGTGTCGTCGTATTATCTCTTTAACCATTTGTCCAAATTATATGCAGTAAAAGGGAAAAGTTTTTTGTTTTAAACATTTTTAACGATAAATTTACTTATTTTGATAAGAATTCATAATTGTTGATAATATGACCAATAAACATGACCTACCGATGTAACTTTTTTTTTAATATAAAAAACTACTTTTTGTGACTGAAATATAAAAGTTAGACATAATATGCTGTCGCTGACTTTTTTGTAGGCAATATTAAGCCCTACAACTTTTCTCTAGAACATAATCATATATCTCTCATCGTTAAGGCAGCGTTCGTAAGAAACGTTTTCGTTCGACCGTTTTTCCACCGACTTACTTTACAAATCCGACTACCATGAAAAAGTCTTTTCATTCTTCGTGTTAATATATAGCCTATGACACTCAGAAAGAACGTGGCTTTCTATTGGTAAAAGAATTTTGAAAATCGGTCCAGTAGATCCAGAAATTACCCCCTTCAACTTCACAAATTTACAACATCACAAACTTTACCTCTTTAACAATATTAGTATAGATTAAGACACTGAAACTGATTTCATTTTCGTATTATTAAAAATAAAAAATCTTGCTATTACGTTTTACATATGTAACAAAATCTATACTATTAATATTACCTATAAAGAGGCAGAGTTTGTCTGTTTCTTTGAATGCATTATTCTTAGGAACTACTAATCCGATTTGAAAAATTATTTTTGCATTAGATAGCCCGTCTATTGAGGAAGGATATATATCATAATATAATTTATTATATTATAGTCTATCTATCCATACTAACCGATAAAACGTACCTAGTAAAAGGATGTTTTTGTAAATAAATAATCGATTTGATTTCGTGAATGGAGTCGAGAAGTCGTTTCAGATATAAGACTTCATTGATGTTGCTCAGAGTAGAGTGGAAGATAAGAAGCGATCTAATTTTACGAATTTATTATTTATTTATTAAAATGTCAAAAGAAGAAAGAGTTCGAAAATGTTAAAGTTACTTATGTAATAAATAATAGCTGGACCAAATCTTGTGTTTATTTAATCTTTTACTTTCTTTAAATATCTAATAATAGAATAAATATAATATAATTAAAATATATTATACTAGCAACTCACCCTCGCTACGCTCGGGTTCATCCCTACTTACGTTTTATGTTTAGTATAATTTCTCAGAGATGAGATATTTGTCCACAGTAAAAAGTATTCTATATGTTGACCCAGACAACCAGCTATCATCATACCAAATTTCATCAAAATCCCTCCAGTAGTTTTTCCGTGATGCGGTAACAGACAGACAAAAATTCTAAAAACTATAGATTCGTCCTGTCTCGATAAAAGTGTCTATTTCAATAAGAATATCCACAAAATATTTATTGTACAGATTCGGCTTAGTTACAGTTTTATAATATGTATAGATTTGAAATTATGCTATACAAAAGGTAGCAGAAAAAATATACCTGTATGAGAATAAGTATATGTAATATGTGTTGTGATAGTCTGTGGTTTAAGTTTATATATTACTCTGTGGTCTACGTTACTGTATTACTCTGTGTCCATATATGTTCTCACTTTTCCATGATGGTTGATTACAATAAAGTTGTAATAGTTATAAGAGATATAAAACTTCGTTGGTGTTGCTCAGAATAGAGAGTGAAACGTATGGATATAAAGTTAATACAATATGTATCATAAATGCGAAAGTGGAATACACGATAGCCGCGAATGTATCGCGCAAATACGTATTGTGTGCTTGATTCCGTCAATGACCAATGCCTCCTTCACACTCTCACTGATGAGAAATTTTAGTAGCAGTGAACACTAATTAGCTAGTATTTGTGAACAAAATCTATAGTTTTATATTTATCGTTTTAAAAGATTTTATTGATCGACGATTTCATCGAGATCTTCTTTTTTTATAGAATTCCAGCTCCAAGCTGGTTCCATATAATTTTCAACAAAATATCTGCCTTTACAATTTTTACCTTTATAATTTTATTTATATAAAGTAGGTAATTTTGATATTCGTTCAAACGTAATTGTTTAAAATAATCTATAAATACGTTAATAGAATATTGTATAATAATGTATAATAATAAATACCTAAACTTTAACAGTCTCCTATCCCAGCAAGAGTATCAATCAATCGAACTATATTTACTGTTCATTTTGTAATTCATTTTACGAACACTTGCTGGCATCATACGGAATTCATTAGAAATTTGGCAAAGTATATAGACATATAGTGTTTGGGCTCATTCTGTAAAAGATTTTTTAAAACAAAAGGATCCTTTTAACATCTCTGTATACATTGCTTTAATGTACGTAACTTTTGTTATTGTTTTGCATTTGTTATAAAAATAATTAAAAAATTATACACAACAAATAATATACCTACCAAAAAAATATTATCATCCTAATCTAACAAGATTATTCAATATCATTTTTATTAAGCTAATCATCACTCAGCACTTTGTGAATTTCATTTTTAAATCGCAGGTCCGTCTCGTACTGCAGTTATCGTGGCCGCATTTTTGTAGTGGCCGACAAAAGAGATTAGTTTCCCGTGAATATGTGAGCTGTATTTTGATTTTATTTATAAATATGAAAGATTGCCTTATCAAGTGATTTTATTTTACGAATGTATTATTTAGCTATTTAAATGTCTATTAGAATATATCATAGGAATACCGCTAAGAAAAAATAGTTCGAAAATGTTTAAGAGTAATAATATGTTTATAATAATACCTGGACTAAATCTTGAATTTCTTTAATCTTTTACTTTCTTTAAATATCTAAAAATTCATTTTAATATAGGTACTTAAAATATATTATATATTTGAAATTAATCTATACAAAAGGTATCAGAAGTCTTCTGTATCGCAGTAATAAGTAGATATTTATTACGAGTGACGTTAACTAAGTAAAGAGAGAATAAGGGCCGCTCCACTGACTATAGTGCCGATCACAGCCTCTGGTAAAGTATTAGCGTTCACACTATCAGTAAGACATTTCTTGTATAGAAATACTTTACCAGACCAATATGAGACCGAGAACGGACTGTGAACAGCACTATAGTGTGGAGCGGCCCTAAGGGTTATTTTTATTTTAACTTTCTGTTGCATCTTAGGAGAACTGTTGTAATTTTATCATATACGTCGGGCCGCCTGTGAAAACCCTATTACTCGGAGACTATGGGAGCTTGATGGCGGTTTGGTAATTTTTCCGTCTCATGTGAACCACTAGGCGTTTTATTTCTACAGTGTAATGACGATTTTTAAAATAAAAATTCGATGATAAGACATGACAATATGACGATATAACATTGTCTCCCATGAGCTTTTAAAGTGTGAAATCAGATAATAGAGCTTCCAAAATACTTTCAACTTAACTATTAGGAAAAAGATACCTTGAGTATTTTTTGAGATATTGGATATTTCCGGTATCCATGCGTTTGGTTGCGAAAATAAATAACCATTAGTTACTTTGTCATTCATCATTTCATTGTCATTAGTTGGCAAGCTCAAGAGAGGGTTACGTGTTTGAGGCCATGTATGTATGTATGTATGTATGTATGTATGTATGTATGTATGTATGTATGTATGTATGTATGTATATATGTATGTATGTATGTATGTATGTATGTATATATGTATGTATGTATGTATGTATGTATGTATGTATGTATGTATGTATGTATGTATGTATGTATGTATATACGTATGTCGAACCCTAAGTTCCCTCGTAATTACTAAACGGCTTAACCAATTTTGATGAATCATAAGTCGTTAGATTCGTCTTGATAACGCGAGTGTTATAAGGTATATAAGTGTTTTTCCTACATCAAAAGTCGAGTGTTGGTATTTTTACAAATAAACAATATAATCATGTATATATTCTTTAGAAACTCTTCTCAAATTAAACAATCAACCCTATTTAAATCGACGCAATATTCATTGCCAAGATGAAATTTTCAAATAAAATTACGGGCTGTTGACCCCAAAAAACAAAACACTAAAGATACACAGCAATAATAATAAATAAACGTGGGATATATGCTATTTATTTACTTGCAATTAAGGTAAGCCATACGATGTTTATGTAAAAATCGAAATTATCAAAATCGATCTGTTCATTTCATTAAAAAGCTACACAGTAATAAATATTATATTTCTTTCATATATCACACATAATAATTCTGGGCGTTATTATAAAACGTGTTGTTTTTGTTGTTCCAGTAGTATAATTATTAATTATACTTACTATTGTATACATTAAAAAACTTATAAATTGCATAATTGCATTTCAATAAATTATGAATAATGCATTTAATTACTATGACACGGTAAAATAATATATGAGTTAATTACCTTAAAGCAAACTGAACATAGTCCATCTGTAGAAGGGTTTCCATAGAATCCGCACCCTGAACGGCACAAGGCCTCCATGGGATTCGATTCTCTCTCCATAGTTCCACAATAATTTCACTTTAACAACAACAACAAAAGTCAAGAGTACGATTGCACTATCAGTATATTGCACTTGTTTTTAACACAAAGTCCACAATGATCACAGTACAATGCACTTGTAGACGTTATTTTAGACGTAAAGTTTCCTGATTCGCACAATCTGCGAGTGGCCTTCTGATAGGCGTGGAGCTGCTACTTCTTTCTATGTCAGGATCGCAAGGGGCCCTGTAACAAAAATAATGAATAAGTACAAAGAAATGAGTTTAGTTCTATCTTAAGTGATTTTCGAGATAGGCATAACAAGGTGTTTTACCCATTACTCTATAATCCACTGTCGATTTTATGATTTTCAACACCGCACTTTGTTTTTACTAAACTTGTGTATATCATTAATATAATCATATTATTAAATATATTATTGACACGTGTATTACAATGCGACTTTAAGAATAATGATACACTTTTAGCAGCTGGTACGTTAACGCTAAATTTTCATAATTGCCTCTTGAGAAATAACACGCACACACCACCAACTACGCAGACGCTGAACATTGCACATATCAAATTAATCGTAAATTAAGAAAATCCGTATGACGCATACACAGCACGTATTATAGAAAGTGGTATTTAAGCGCAAAACGATTTCGTAGGCAAAACATAATATGCATAACGACAGGTTTGCATAACAAGAGAGAGCTACGACAAAAGTGGAACGCGCCCGCGAACAGCGGTGCCCGCGCCCCGCGTCAAGGTCCCGCGACTCCCACCCGACGTTCGAAACTCAGCAGGCAGCCGTGATAAAACTTCACTTATCCATAACGTGTGGTTATCATTACTTATGTCATAATTTGATATCTATTATAACTTCAACATCACTCTTGTACAAACGCAAAAACATATATTTGGGAATAAATCCAAACGGTATAACAAAATTTAATTAAAAGCATAACTATTGTTATTTCACACAGCAAACGAAACTATAACAAAATAAAACCATCTTCAATAAATAATTGTGAAAACTTTTGAAAGAAGTGGAGTGGTTAATTCGATTAGCATTTTGAAAAGCACAAAGCGTGCACTAATTATGTTGATATTAACGAAAGTGACGGCGAGTGCACTATACGAGGTCGTTACACCAGGCCAGCCATCGGAGTTGGGAAAGTCATCGACCGGGTAGAACATCGCAGGGGTGCGTGGTTGCCTACGTCGAACGACGCCCGCGCAACAAACGTAAAATCTACACGTGTAGAACTTCAGTCGCGGATCGAAGTCCACATTATATGATGCGACGCGCCTTGTACATTCTGAACTCTTTATTGACTCGTCGTAGCTATTCAAAAATACCTTACACGTGTAGTTTTATATGTTTATCATCATTATTTACCAACGCAGTTCAAATTGTTTTAGATATTATTTTTTTAAATGAATAATTACCAGGTCATGAAAACCAGCGTGTGAACATTTTTAAATGTTGTCATATTATTTCAGACATCGTTATCGACGTCGATCGATATTTATCAAAATCGGCACACCCATGGTGCCCACCCACGTGAGATATCTAACCAACAATAACCATTAACATTTTGCTTGTAATTCAGGTCATGGTCGGCAGAGCCAACAACGAGGTGTCACTTATATTACGACAAACGTAAGTTACAATTAGCTTCGACAGTAATTTATCAATTTCTTTTGTGGCATGGATAAATTCGTAAATCGCTCTTACTTATTAATGGGTTAGCTTGCTAGAATTTGGCAAGTTTTGGAGATATCTAAAAGAATTGTGTCAAGGTTTTTAGATCGGCGATTACATACCATAGTCACACCAAATTGACATACTTTATAAAGGTTGTCTAAATTTAAAATAATAGATCTATATTTTTTATTTTAAAGTTAACACTTTGTCTGAATTCATTGTCAGTTTCATTCATTCATTCATATGACCTGAAGTACCGAGGATACTCAGTTTATATGTATTTAGAGTAACGACACAATTCCACTACACAATACAGTAATAAAGAGGTCTTTCTACAATTGTATTTTAAAGATAAACCCTTAGTATAGCATTCTAAATACCATTTTGCTACGCACCTATCTCCGTGGAATACTGTATGTGTAACCCTATATCACCCTCATGCCAATAAACCATCTTCCATGCAAAGTATATATGTATGTCACCTTTACTAAATGCTGCAAGATAAATCAACAAAAATATCTTTACTTTTACAGTAATACTAGCGCCTCGCTCCACTAGGGTTTGTTATAGATGATGATGAGATTTCTCATAGATGAGATATTGGTCCACAGTAAAAAGTATTTTATATGTTGACCCGGATAACCAGCTATCATGCCAAATTTCATTAAAATCTTTCTAGTGGTTTTCTCGTGATTCCCAGACAGACAAACTTACAGACAAAAATTCTAAAAACTATAGGATTCGGCCTCTGTATCGATAATAATGACTATTTCACAGATTCGACTCAGTTAGAATTTTATTATATGTATAGATAAATAACACTATCAAAATCATTTAATAACTCACTCAAATCGTATATGCATAAATAATTGTGTAATGGATGAAGTTGTTGCAGTGAATCTTTTAATATAAGTTATATACGAGGATAATAATGCCAATTACAAAGATTCAGTTGTCAATAGCACTTAGATAAAGGTTATTTCTAGCAATAGACGACACGATATCTAACTATAGTATTTTAGGTGTCCTATCTATAACTCGGGCGTGTGCTATGCATGTGTGGTGGAGTCGTGGCGGTGTGCACGGCCCGCTGACCTACTTGCCGAGTGTTCTACGCAATTCGAGCGCGACCTGCTTTGAGCTGCACCAACGGACTCACTTCACAATTTTGAAGATGCGTGCTTTTTAAGATCATTGTCATAATTTTAATATAAAGGGCATACAGCGTTCCGGTTAAGTTCGTAAGAAAGCTATTAACAGTACTTTGACAAGCTAATGAATTATTATTACTGTTGTCTGCTAAACAAATTATTTTTGTTTTGTAGCAAATACTAAAAGATGTGCCAGTAGCAATAGAACAATGTTTCACTAAGAGATAAATTCTCTCTAAGAATAAAGTTATATTTTCGGATTTTTTCGCGGATATATTTTGATTTTTAGTTCCCGACGTTTCGTATGCTTTATGCAGTCATGGTCACAGGAGCCTCATGACTGCTGTAAAGCATTCGAAACGTCGGGAACCAAAAATCAAAACCAAATCCGCAAATAATCCGTAAAGATAGATTTATTTAAAACTAGCGACTCACCCTCGCTTCGCCTGGGTTCGTCCCTAGCTTGATTTCCAATACAAACTTTCAATCCCATTTTCACCCCCTTAAGGGATGATTTCAGGGATAAAAAGTATCCTATGTCCTTCCCAGGGTTTCAAACTATCTATATCTATTTAATATGTCAAATATTCGCGTAAATCTAAGAAAGTATTCACTCTAAGAATTTGTCCAACGTAGACATAAAAAATAATTTATAATACGCTCTCCTGATAAAATAATGAAATACATACGTCGATTAGAATTTTTTATATTACAACAAATAAAAAAACGATCCCGCTAAAAATGTTTCATCACAATGAGTTAAAAACATGCACTTTCAACAGAAAAAACCCATGTAGACATTCTCCCCTGTGAAGAACATGTGTGGTGTAATCCTTAATATTGTTAACAGACATTTCTAGGTAGCGCTATCTCGCAGACGCCCACTTTCAAAAATGAAACACGTAGTTTTAATATATCTCCACATAATACATAATACAAGAGTTTAAAAACAAGCCACCTAGTAAAATTGTCTAACTCAACGAATCCTAATAAATAACTTGTTTTTATTTACATATAAATTATACATTTGATTGAAAAAAAACAATAGGTAAAATACTACTTTTATACATATATGGAAGAAAATAGCGGTGATATGCAAAGATCCCCAGTTGGTCAAAAACAAAATAGAATTTTATTCAATATTATTAAATTTTTATTCATTCATTCATTTAATATTCAATAATAATAAATTTGCCGTCGTTAACTGGTAACTGCTGCCTACTTGCCTTGCCCAAAATTAGGTCGCACAATTACACTATCGTTCCATTTATGAATCTTAAATGATAAGATTTCTCAATTGATCAAATTTAAAGAGTTCGATACAAAATACAGGTCTGACCACTAAAGCAACGGTAACAATAACGGTATCTGGTAAAAATCGAGCAGAGAAAATAAATCCCTGTGCAACTTGAACTCATTTAAAGTACGTAGTAATTATTATTACGTTAATTATTATAGAATAATAAAACTTACCTGTTTGCAAAAAAAATTGCAAACTTTACTAAACTAAAATGCTGTTTTGTTGAAAAACAATGTCATAGCGTTTATGAGATAGAAAATATAAAGAAAATGAATACAACAAATAAACACAAACCAAACAAATACACGGAAATACAACAGCTGAAAACGAGGTCAATAAATTTATTTCTTGGCATGAATTCTATAAAAAACCGACGAAGCACGAAATTAATTAGCACTCGCGCATTCAACAACATGTCTATCAAAGCGGAAACGTTACACACCTAAAATAGAAGAGCCAGGGCCTCACTCGAACCTTCCGTGTGGTATTGCAACGTGGAAGTGAAGCCGAGGTTTCAGCAAGTAGCGTACAACAGGTTTGCACAATTGTAACAAAGCATTAACAGGATGAGAAGGACAATGACATAGCATTTGTAGCGCTGCGTCACAGACGTGCACAATGACGCTTCACAATGAGCACGCTCGGCATTGGCAAGATGGCCGCCGCGGCGTCAGCTGATTGTGCGCACACGCAGCTGAACTAAACGTGCCGTTTCGTATATCGCTCTCTCTTTCGGCGGCGCTGATTAAGACGCGACATTCATTGTCTTAATACAATGATCGCTAAGAGTATACGCTTCGCAAATCGCAAAAATTTCAAAACAGTAATAAATAAAATAATGTACATTTATGCTAAT